CTTAGCAGCTGTACAACTACCAGATGGATCATCACATTCACTTCGATGGTTACTGGATAGTGGTGCTGTCGAGCATTTGGTTTCTGCTACAGTGGGTAATCTCCTTTCGGGTGCTCCTCGTGTCCATCTTGATCATCCAGTAACACTTCTATTTGCTAATGGTCAACAGCAGAGAGTCGATTAGTGCTCGTCGAGTTACTCTTCGTATTGGTAGCGATTGTTATACAACAACAGTACTGATTGTTGATGGGTTGAGTCTTCCAGGAGTATTGAGCCTTCATAAATTGGCACGGGATGTAGGATCCTTGTCATGGTTCATGTGCGCTGACGGGAGTGAGTTACTTCAATTGGGGTCTGCCAATGTATTAAGGTTATGTTCTGAGTCATCTATTCCATCGAGATTGCCTGTCTTCCTCACTCTTGCTGACAGTGATAATGTTACTGTGCCTACACCGATGCTTGATTCGTCAAAACTTCCTTCTGGTCAGCATCAACTGAGTAGTGAATTAGAGGAAGGTGAGGAAGAGAGGGCTGAGATCAAGTTGGATTATGTGTTGGATGGCGGTGGGTGTAATCGGGCGCGAGTATCTTTGCCCTGGCTTTCCTCAGAGAGACCATCTTCTACGGATCCTGGACTCGGTCGACGAGCTGCCATAGCGAGAGACGTGGCTACATGTCAGAGACTCCGTGAGATGGGTGGTTCATGGTATGATGATTTTGAGAAGGAGTTGCAAGATATGGAGGCTAAGGGATACATACGGCCGTTAACTCCGGCTGAAGTACGGGAGGATTTTCCTGTGGCAAGCACCGTTTTGGCACTACGTCCAGGTCATAAGACCCAACCTGTTCGTATTACTATCGATGCTCGTGGTATTAATGCTCGGCTCGATTCTGGCGATGTTAGTATGCTACGTAAGGCTCTCAAAGCTATCCTACTGCGGAGTAGAATGGCCCCCTTCGTAGCTTTCGAAGACGTGGTTAGAGCATTCCCTCAACTACTACTACATATTCCTGACACTGTTAGTCTCAATTTTAGAAGTAATAATCGGTATTGGCGATGTCTGAGACTTCCGTTCGGCTTGACATGCTCCCCGGCATGTCTATGTATTGCCTTGCAGGATATTCGATCCATTTTGATCAAGGATTATGGATCTCCGGTCGAGGCTTATTATCCGTATATGGATGACCTACTCTATACTGCTTGGCTCAAGTCACTTCTCATCAGTCGACGTGATCGTGGTAGTCAGTTGTTGCT